ATCATTATTTTTTACATTGAGATAATTGAAGAAAGTCTTGGGAAGTTAATCAATCCTGTCAGAAGGGTAGCCCACACACTCGACTTTCATTCAGAATCGTAGGGGCGTATTGAGTGCGTATGTGGCCTACAGAGATTTGCGGTGGCCACTCAATGTTAAGTCAGCGCTTTTCCCTCCCAAGCGAGTCTGGTACCAATTAGCCAACCCCAGAGGTATATGTGGACTTACGTGGGTCCGAGGATGCGCGGCGAAGTTCGTGACGATTTGAACGATCTTAGCGCCTATCGTTGAGGCTCAAATTTGAAGAATTGTAGATTAGAAAGATCATCTGAACCCGCTAAGCTACACTAGTTCTAGCTTGGTACCCTAAAATTGGCGTCAATGCGCGAACGTAATGCACGTCCCCCACACCGGAGGATGGAACGCTTGATCGATCTGGGTAAAGGTCGATCAGGCAATGAAGCTAGGACCATGTGTGGGTGGTTGTCTTCCAGTTGCCTCTGCACCATTTCCGCAGCGTCATCCAGTAGACATATCTAACCTCAATTCCTTTGCACAGTCTCAGAACAAATATATTTTTTCTTCCATCATATATTCTCTTTTTGTTAGATTTCCTATGTAGATCTGATTTTCAGTGCTCATATTGAAGTCAATCACCTATAATTTGATTTTTACGTCGGGCCTCGTTACAAACTCGATTAAATTACTGTTCTTGGTTTTCATGAGACTTGATAGGTTTTTGTGGGCATTCAATATACGCTATCTACTTATGAGAGGGGAGCCAAGCCGAGCTTTCGCCTAGAAAAAACCTTCTCCAGTTCCTGCTACCCAATTATTACACGGCACACAAAAAGCTGAAAAATAAGATTAGGGACCAGTCTATTATTTTATCCAAGTAAAAGTTTATATAAATAGGCGCTATATCTACCGTCACGCACTACACCCGCCCTTAGGGCTCCCTATCCTTAAAACCTCATCTCACACAGCTTTATCCAGATGTTCAGTTTTATAAAATGATTGAAAATACTCTCTAATACCTACCGTTCGAACTATTTCAGAAATGCCGTTCATGCCGAATACCACAGTTAAATTCCTTAGTCCAAGTGCCGCACGTAGCACATACACAGTGATGGCTGAATGTATCTGTTGTATGGCTTGCGTCATGAATATCCTTCTTTTCCTCGCGTTCTCCTGCCGGCCCTTGAAAACACGTTCATATAACTATTTCTTTATCCTATCGATCATCCAGAACCTTGTCTCTGCTATAACTTTTTTTCTCATGGCACCGGTCAGTTTTTCTACTGTTTTCCTTAAAAAATTTACCATACAAAATGGGGAAGTTCTAAGAGTATCGGACTCGTTCGCGGCGTAGTATTAGGTTGTAAAGAAAGTTTTGGCCGTTCGTCACGTTAGTTGATCACGATGTTTTGCTAATAGTAGTCGAAGAAGATCTACGTCTACCTTTGAGAGGGATTGCCTAGAATATGGGTGTCCCCACACGGTCGTCTCTTCCCACCTCACGCAGCTTCGACTGGTGATGAAGCTTGACGAGTGGGTGCCACAGGAACTCACGGAGCAGCAACAATTTATGCGCTTAGAGGTTTCAACTTCGCTATTGAGAAGATATGGTGTTGAGCCTTTTCTAAATCCTATTGTAACGTGTGATGAGGAGTAGATCCTGCATGATAACAGGAAGCGTTCTGCTCAGAGGGTAGGTGTGGATGGGTCTTCAAAAACCTTTCTCAAACCAATTTTACACGTCAAGAAGACAATAGTCAGTTTGGCGGTTCAGCCATGGGTTAATCCACTACGCGTTTCTTCCTCCAGGTCAAATTATCACTGCACAGTTCTATTGTGATCAAATTAACGAGATGTACCCGAAACTGGTGCAAATGCGGCCAGCACTAGTCAGTCGCCACGGTCCACTGCTCTTGTACGACAAGGCGCGACCGCATGTGTCACAAATTGTCTTCCAGAAGTTGAACGGGTTGCAAATCGAAGCTCTCTCTCATCCCCCCTACTCAGTACACCCGCCACCAATTGACTACCACTTATTCAAACATCCGGACAACTTGTTAAATTATTGAGTATTCAAAAATCAATGCGATGTGGAAGCTGCCTTTCTCGACTTCTTGGAATCCAGATCTCCGGACATTCATAGAAATGGAATAGACAGACTTGTATCACGTTGGCAAAAATGTGTAGAATCGAATGGGGCTTGTTTTGAATAGAAATGTTTACTTTGAGATCGGTTATGAATTTTTGAAAGTTTGCTGACAAAACGGTCAGAACTTTCCTTACAACCTAATATGAGTTTCGAGATTTCTTATGCCTGGTGAAGACCTAGAGACCTTTTGAATACTTCCTAGTGTGTGTTAGGCACCAATAAAAATGCGGATAACCCAACAGATCGCCCATGTTCCTTCTGGTTTTCACTGCGTTGAGAGCTCAAGCTCAAGTACAAGCTTCTACAAATGCAATACATGTGGAGGGCATTGATAGGATCACAGAGGACAACTACACGGGAAAAATGACGAGCGAGTTGGTGACTTTCAAACTAAGGTCTAACTGTCTTTCTCAGAAATACGATAATCACTGAGTCCATGATCATCCAACGGCAGAGGGTTGGAGCAGTTAAAGCGAAGTCGCGGGGAGAGCGACGCGCAAAGAAATGTGGCAGATTGAAGTAGAAGCTTCGCAGTGAGTAAGAATGGGCATTTTCAGGAAGCGATTGCCTTCAACTCGGTACTCCTTATTATCTCAACTGGAAGAGGTGG